TAGATTTTTTAAAAATATGTATTTGCAGTTGTCCAAAAGACATGTCGAAGCTTCCCAGATGCCCTCATAGTTGTTCTGATGAAGAACTGAACTACTTGTTGGTGTCACCAGACTAAAAAGACTAGAAAGTGAAGAATGAGTGTGTTCATTTCTCTCTTGTGTGTCTCCTTCTCCAGTGTACAACTCTGCGGAGCAACTTTTCCACCTCAACTTTAGAGGACTGTCTTTTTCCTTTCAGTTGGACTCCTGGACTGAAACTCCAAAGTATGAGGTCAGACATCATGGTTAATATATAATTGCTAAGCAGGATAGTTGCTATGTTTTGGAAAGCTTAGGAATGAACTTCTTTTGATTTAATGCATTGCTTTTTGTTGTGTATATCTTTTGAGGGGAGGGTATTTCACTTAACATGGGGTCTAGTAGCCAAACCATACAGAACCTGTGGATATGGGGGTCCTTTGTGGATATGGGAGCCATACTGCATTTGAAAAGGGGATAGTTTCAAGCCATGAATGGATCAGTAGCTTTGATGATATCAGTTCATATACAGATGTTGCACAAAACTGGGAAGCAGACGCAGGATGGGTATGAAACGGGAAGAAACGCACAAATCTTCGGAGCAAAAATAAATCTGAAATTGTGCACATAGGGAAATACAAACAAATGGGGAACAGAAATTTTCAGAGAAATGGGCAAAATGTGATATTAGCACCATTTAAAACGGCTGTACTCCAAACTTTTTGCCCTGAAGAAATCCTTGAAATAAACATGAAGTGTCAGGAAAAACTTTGATTGATTGACAGATGGATGGACGGACAGATAGATGATAGACAGATGGATAGATGATAGATAGATGATAGACATGCAGATAGATAGATGACAGATAGATGATTGACAGACAGATAAATGATAGACAGACAGATAGATGACAGATAGATAGGTGATAGACAGACAGACATAGAATCATAGAATCCTAGAGTTGGAAGAGACCTCATGGGCCATGCAGTCCAACCCCCTGCCAAGAAGCAGGAATATTGCATTCAAATCACCCTGACTCAGTTGAATAGGTCCCATACCTGTACTCTGTTTATAATGTGGTTCCACAAGAAGAGCCTCGACTACCTTACACTGCAGCGAAGGCACTGGCAGCCAGTTCCACTGCTGAAGCGGATCATCATCATACGCTCAGGGATAATATCTCTACCCACTCTGTCGTCTCTAGTATGCCGGCATCAATTCCCTGCTCGCTTGATAGGCGATGAAGACTCACTGTTGATCGAGTGCGTCCAGTAGTCTCCTTCACGGTAAGCATTTGACTTTATTGTGTATACGAAATTAGCTCGACATCCTCCCAAGTGGCTTCATCGGTCAAATACTTAGTAGTACGATGTCGTCTTCGATATCTCATCTGCCACAGCACACATCTGTCTCGTTTATCCATTCATGTCTTACGTGCTAATGGACATGTACCTGTCAGTCATTCCGTCAGAAAGTAGCCGAGCCATCTCATTCAGTATGCTTGTATCTAGTCAGAATGATATGATAGATAGTATGATTGTACAGGTAAGAAGATAGATGATCATGATAGACTTAGACTAGTACAGAGATGAAGATATGAAATATAGACAGATAGACTGCACTACACAGACAGAACAGCACACACGACAGTAGGAGGAGATGAAGAGCAGAACAGGAATAGAGTAGGATGAGTAGAGAAGTATGGAGTAGTAGATGCAGATGCTTACGTACAAGCAGAAATGCTAGGAGAGCAGATCAGGTGGACAGTCCCAGATAGTATAGAGGTAGCACAGCTACGATAAATGATTGACAGAGAGGGGGTAGATCGCACGGAGAGGTTGACGAGCATAGCATAGATAAGATAGCCATAGATCTGAGTGAAAGATCGATATAACAGATGAGTGTTAGCTAGTGATTAGTAGCACACGAATAAGACATGATTCTAGAGTGGACTTGATGAGATCTACAAGTGGATATGATTAGAGCAGAGTGATTGTTTGTCTAGGACTGTAGTATAGATGTAGCACTATGATGATACGATAAATTAGCGAGCAGCATAGCATGATACATGACACTGACAGAGAGTATTCAGACGGCATCAGCGATCACGAAATAATAGGCGATGAGCGTCTAGCACAGGCAGACAGATGAGTGAGGTGCTGTAGAGACGCTTTTTGTTTTGTTATAGTATTTGTCTATGGTCATTATTATTATATAGGTGATAGACAGACAGATGATAAGACAGACAGACAGATAGATAGATGATTGACAGACAGACAGATAGATGATCCACACAGATAGATAGATGATAGACAGACAGATAGATAGATAAATAAATGACATTTAGATAGATATAGAAAGACATACAGATAGATGATAGATAGACAGATAGATAAATGACAGTTAGATATAGGCAGACAAACAGATAAATGATAGATAGACAGACAGACAGACAGACAGACAGATAGATAGATGACAAATAGATATAGACAGACAGACAGACAGGTAATAGATAGATAATAGACAGATAATTATAGAGACAGACAGACAGATAGATAGATAACAGATAGAAGACAGACAGACAGATAGAAGACAGACAGACAGATAGAAGACAGACATAGATAATAGACAGAAAGAAAGATAGATGATTGATTAGATAGATAGATAGATAGATAGATAGATAGATAGATAGATGATAGCCAGATAGATCGCTAGACAGACAGCTAGATAGTTAATCAGACAGACAGGCAGATAGATAATAGACAGACAGATGGATTGATGATAAATAGATAGATAGATAGATAGATAGATAGATAGATGATAGATAGATTCCCCCACACACACCCCAAAATTTTTTTTTTTTTTTTAAATCATAATTTCTCATGGAAATCCTAGCAACCTT